GAGTGGATGAAGACGTCCCTTCTGACAGACAAGGGGGTGACACAATGGGGTAAGGGAAGCTATTAATAAATTAGTGGCAAGTTATGCCCATAAATTAGTGGCAGGTTATGCCCACAAATTAGTGGCAAGTTACGTCCATAAATTAATGGCAGGTTATGTCCGTACAATTAGTGGCAGGGTATGTCCAGAAATTAGTGGCAGCCTGTGGGACAACCTTGTGGTGTGGACACTCTCGCAAGACACTGCTGCCCGAGTTGACTGATCCATCCGGGGTCGGCGTTATGTCTGTAGATTAGTGGTAGGTTATGCCCATAGATTAGTTGCTATGCCAATCAATTAGTGGCAGGTTATGTCGATAAAATCTTGGCAGGTTGTGTCCATAAAGTAGTGGCAGGTTATGTCCAAAAATTACTGGAAGGTAATGTCCATAGATTAGTGGCAGGCTATGTCCGTAAATTAGTGGCAGGCTGTGTCCATAAATGAGCGGCGCTCCCGCTATGATTTTGTGACACTCTTCTGGGACACTTTTACACGACACTCGTACTGGAAATAACCGCTACATTTTGCATACCTGACTTTTAGGCAAGCTTGAAAATGCAAACCTAATAAGTAATATTATATTAAATTAAACAAGATCTATGTGTTTTGACAAGGGACATTTATGTTCTGGGAGCAACATCGATACTCATTGTTTTAAGACAACAAAAGATCACAAAAATGACAACAATGACAGCACATGACAAACAAATAACAAACAAGGACAAAATTGACAACCCTGAGGCTCGAAGTTAAGGCCTCGAAGTTAAGGTGTGATTCCATTTTGGTGATAAAAATGGAAAATGGATGGACCATACGTGGTTCATGCAATCATAATTTCCATGCTAAACAGGTCAAATCCATGCCCAGTTTCTCTCATCAGTTCATACAATTGACACAAATGACTCAGCTGCACACTGAGCTGGCCAACGTAATCACAACGTGTTAGCATCGTGAGCAGGTAAACGTTCAATCAACGTTTTACCATATTTTAGATTTTATCTTTTTGAACATATTTTGTCTTTTTTTTAATATTTTGTAAAAAAAAATATGAAACCACATTTGTTTGCACAACGTTCTGGACAACAAATTAGTCTACCAAATTTCAGATTAGCCTACCTAAATTTCAGAAATGCCTATGTCATTTTCAAATCACCTAGGCATTTCTGAGATCAGGTAGGCATTTCTGAAAGTCATGAAGGGCAAACCCCTACAAACTAATACCTTACGATCTGGGATGCTTTCTTAAGTTTGTGAGTATACTGAACATTACATACTACAAAAAACATGTACATATAAATTGTGTATTTTACATGGCACACTATACATTAAAGACATATACCTTTGAATAAATGCATATATCTTACATGTTACTTACTAAAGATTACTCGTTGTACTGTTTTTTATGCAGACGGTTAAAAATTATACATACATGATACATTGCATCTTAAATACTACTTCGTAAAATCCGCCCACACCGCTTTGGCGGTGAAGGCGTGCTTATTGGGGGGCAAAACAGCAACACTAAATGCTCATGACATTTGTTAATATAGCAGTCGCTATATCAGCTTTAGCTGGGGGGGGGCCCAAAAACGGTTTCGCACCGAGACCAGAATACGGTGGTGTTTTCGACATTTTTCGAGGATTTTTGGGTGTCTGAGCGCAAGAGGGTATTGAAATGGAATTTTGGGTCATTTTGGTAGCTTTCCGGCAATGGAAAAACGGCCAAAAATGAAAAAAACATTGTACATAGCAAGATTTTGCAGGGTTTTTGGATGCCAGAGCATTGAAAACACTGCAAAAACAAGTGTTTTGGACTGACGTTATAGCAAAAAACGTGTAAATTACCGTATGCTTGACTGGAAACATTACAAAAACACTGTCAAAAGCAATGTTTTGGAAGGATTTACTGCCTTTATGGAAAAAAACGTGTAAATTACCGTCTGTTTGACTGGAAACATTGGAAAAACACTGTCAAAAACAATGTTTTGGAAGGATTTCTATATATATATGTTGGAGTTGGCTACCGGCATTGGAACATGGAAAAATTGAAGAAAACACTGTAAATAGCGGTATTTTCAACGGTTGGGGAGATAAGGGAATTGGAAGCATTGTCGAACATGATGTTTTCGACCGGTTTTATGGCGACAAAAGTGTAAAGTACCGTGCTTTGAAGGAAACCATTGCAAAAACATGGAAACACATTCAAAGAACACGGGATTTGGGGGACTATCTAGGCGTCGTTGTCTAGCTATTTGAAATTCCGCAGCTTGGAGAGCCTCCAAGGGAGGGAAAAGTGAAAATTCCATAGCTTGGGAAGCTGTCACGGCGGGGAAAAGTGAAAATTCCCTAGCTTGGGAAGCCCCCACGGGTGGGGAAAAGTGAAAATTCCCTAGCTTGGGGAGCCCCCACGGGGGGGAAAAGTGAAAATCCCCTACCTTGGGGAGCCCCCACGGGGGGGGAAAGTGAAAATTCCCTAGCTTGGGGGGCCCCCACGGGGGGGAAAAGTGAAAATTCCCTAGCTTGGGGAGCCCCCACGGGGGGGGAAAAGTGAAAATTCCCTCGCTTGGGGAGCCCCCACGGGGGGGGAAAGTGAAAATTCTTAGCTTGGGGAGCCCCCACGAAGGAAAACCACCCTTCGCCCCTCTCACGGACCGAAATAAACCTGCGGTGTGGGCGGCCACCCCACGCGAAGCGGGGTGAATATGTTTATATAAAATGCATGATATATCAAAGCTTATTTGCACAATAATTTTATATGATGCATGATACATCATACAGCGTACATCATACTTGATACAATATGCATTTTACATTATGAATTATACATTACACCTTGCACGATTTACACTATGCATTGCATACTGTTTTCATTAATATGTGGTGAATCCAATATTAAATAATAACATGAGGTGTGATGTATTTTCAACTACTAACTCATATGTTACTTAATGTCTATTTTCACTATGTGTTGTTTTACATTAGAAGTTAAATGAGATGGTTTACAGATATATATATATATATATGTGTATATATTGAATATATATATAGATATAGATATATATATATATATATATATTGAATATTGAAATCCAAAATCATGTGTTATATAGTAAATGTTTCAAACCCATGTTTGTGCGTTATAACAGAAAATTTGCCTCGTTTAAATTATGTTCCTTTTCTTAAAATCTTATTCCCCACATCACTGTGTGGGGTTCTTGTTTTATGCTTGGATCCCGCCGCTGCCGCGTCCCCGTCCGCGTCCGCCCGGCCTGTCCCCACCTCATCACACAACACTCATCACTGCAACACTTGTCACATCTCACTCATCCCAGCACAACTACACCACTTATCACATCTCACTTATCACACACCCCTCATCACTACACCACCTATCACCTTCACCACTTTTCACATCATCTCACTCACCACTGATCACTTCTCACTCATCACACCACTCATCACTACACCACTTCTCACATCTCACTCATCACACCCACTTATCACACCACTCATCGCTGGGCCGCGGCTGCCTTTCGCGTGGCAGGCGCAGTACACAGAGCCTCCAGGACAAGCTGCGGCGCGCGTGGCCGCCGCTGGGCCGCGGCTGGCTGTCGTGTGGCAGGCGCAGTACACAGAGACTCCAGGAGGAGCTGCGGCGCGCATCGCCGCCGCTGGGCCGCGGCTGCCTTTCGTGTGGCAGGCGCAGTACACAGAGCCACCTGGAAGACCACTTTGTCACACCACTTTGTCACACACCATCTTTCGTACACCATCTTTCACTCACACCATCTTTCACACACCATCTTTCACACACAACTTTGTCACAGACCATCTTTCACACACCATCTTTCACACACATCATCTCTCTCACACACAACTTTGTCACACACCATCTTTCACACACAACTTTGTCACACACCATCTTTCACACACCACTTTGTCACACACCATCTTTCACACAACGTTTTAACACACCATGTTGCACACACCACTTTGTCAAACACCATCTTTCACACACCATCTTTGACGCCACATCTTTGACACACACCATCTTTCACACACCGTCGCAGGCCATCTTTCACACACCACTTTGTCACACAACATCTTTGACACACCATCTTTCACACACAACTTTGTCACACACCATCTTTGTCACACACCATCTTTCACCACACCATCTTTCACACACACACACGCAACTTTGTCACACACCATCTTTCCTCCACCTCCTCCTTTGTCTTTCCTTCCTTCCCCGTCCCCGGTACAACATGTCTTGCTCATTATTGGAAGAGGTTGACTTGTGGGGTTATCCGGTCCTTTTATTGCTCATTTAGTCGACATTATACATGAAATGTATTATACTATGTTACGTACTTTAAAAATATAAATGATGCATATATATATATATATCTTTCTATCTTTCTATCTTTCTATCTATCTATCTATCTACCTATCTACCTATCTATCTATCTATCTATCTATCGAACCAAAAATCTGTCTATCTATCTGTCTATCTATCTATCTATTATGTAAATACGATTTATACTATATTTGAAATATTGTAAAATATATGCAATATACAGTGCAAAAAAAATCTATGTTGAATACATTGCATATCAAATATCACGTCCTATAAACTAAATTTTAAAACGGATTTATGTGCGTCATTATTGATTTATGATACTCATCTTTGATCTTTGCATGTATTAGAAAAAAGGCGAGAAAAGTAGAAGAAAGGAAAGCAAAGCCTCGGAGCAACACAGTGATAACAACACGAAGCCGTGCAGAAGAGCCCCAAGTAAAGTTGAAACAAGTACTAGACTGTGCCCAAGAAACAATGAAACGCCTACGGGACACATGGAAAAAGTGGGAAACGAAGTATATCAGGCACATCTACATATGCAATGACACAGTCCCAATGTTCCCCCCAAAGGCCACTTTCTCAAACTGCGCAGCTCGTCCTCTGAACCCTCAGGACCAACATCCTATGGGATCGGCAGGATCAAATCACATCAGGTCCGAGTGATGTCACCTGTCCTCTTGATTCGTGTGTCACGTGACGTGTCACGTGTCCCTACGATCGTCCACGCAAGTCCTCGAAAGAATCATCGAGAAGTTGTCTGCGTGAGAGCAATTCCTCGAAAGGATCCTGCGTACGGTCGCGGTGCACCCCTCCAACATGTGGCCCTCTCAAACGGCCCGGTTCGTCCTCTGGTGTGTGCTCAGTAGAAGAGCAAGAAGTCAATACGTCCTACGGGTTCAACAGGAATGAGCCCATGCCATGTCACTTCGTTGTTTTGTCCGGCCAGCAGCCTGTCTGAAAAAATGAACCAAAACATCGGATCTGTCTGCCTATCTCTGTTTATCTTTCTCCCTGACTATCTAGTTCTCTCTCTCTCTCTCAATCTATATCTCCCTCCCCTGCTCTATGTATTATTCTATCTGTCTATTTATCTATCTCTCTCTCTCTCTGTCTGTCTGCCTGTCTCTGTCTGTCTCTCTCTGTCTCTGTCTGTCTCTGTCTACCTCTGTCTGTCTCTGTCTGTCTCTGTCTGTCTCTGTCTGTCTCTGTCTGTCTCTGTCTGTCTCTGCTGTCTCTGTCTGTCTCTGTCTGTCTCTGCCTGCCTGTTTGTCTGTTTGTCTCTTTGTCTCTTTCTCTTTCTGTCTGCAATCCAGCGCTATATCTCTCTCTCTCTCTCAACCTACCTATCTATCTGTCTATCTATTTACCTACCTATTGTTCTTTCTTTCCTTCTTTCTTTAGCTATTTACTTCTTTCTTGAGATATTTATTTATGTCTGTCGTTCTTTCGTTCTTTCTGTCTTTTTCTTTCTTTCGTTATATATTTATTTCTTTTTTGTTATGTCCTTTGTTTGTTCTTTTCTTTTCTTTTCTCTTGTTTCTTTCTTTCTTTCTTTTCTTCAGTCTTTGTTCCTGTCTGTCTATCTATCTGTCGATCTATCTGTCTATCTACCTGGCTGTCTATCTATCTATGTACCTATCTTTCTTTCTTTCTATCCATCCATCTATCTGCATCTCTCCCTCACTATCTATCTAGTTCTCTATCCATGCGCCTGTCACTCTGTCAATCTCTCCCAATATCTGTCTCTTTCTTTCTCTCTGTCCCTCTATCTCTCTCTATCTCTCTCTATCCCTCTCTCTCTCTCTCTCTGTGTCTTGCTCTCTCTATCTCTCTCCATTTCCATCTCTATCTCTATCTCTTTCTGTGTCTGTCCCTCTATCTATTTTTCATCTCTCCATCTATCCCTCTGTCTGTCTATCGTTCTATCTATCTATGTATCCATCTGTCTATCCATCCATCCATCCATCTATCTGTCATTATCTGTCTATCTGAACGGAAGCGATGATGCGAGACTTCCTTTAAAAAAGTGGAAATTGACAGGTCCAAAAGGAAGGAATTCTGCGAGACGTCCTCAAAAAATGGAGGTTCACAGCTCCAATACGAAGAAACTCTGCGAGACTTCCTCAATAAACCGAAGTTGGCAACATCCAAAACGAAGCAATTCTGCGAGACATTCTTCAAAAATGAAGAAAAGTTGAGTGCAGAGCGGGCGGCTTTTTACCAATGCGTTTTGCGATTTTTCCACTCCATCGCTCTAAAGTACTGCACCTGCCACGGAAAAGTGAGGGCAAGTCATACGAAGTGCTGCACCTGTCACGCAAAATCATCTTAGCGAACCTGACGATCTGATGCTCCAAAATGCAACCCATCTCAGGAGATCAATGTCCTGACCTCGTAGGATATCTGGTGAAGATGTCTCTTGGTATTTCCCCCGCCACGCAAAATGCATCTTTGCAGATCCTCTTCAAGCATCCCACGCCTGCCATCGTTTTTGGAAGCGCTGCAAAACCCACAAGTTTGGCTCACTTCTAACAAGGCGCAGAATCCATCACCCCTGCTAGGAAAAACGACAAATGACCCTGGCGTGCGTTTGCCATTTTGACTTCGACATGTGCTTCGCGCCACAGCGGCGTACACTTTTTGAACAGCTCAACTTCCAAAAGTGCTCAGCACTGCGGTGCTTTTAGCGTTATGACTTCGAAATGTGTTTCGCGCCACAGCCCCGTGCACTTCTTCGAGAACTGCCAAGGGTGCTCCAGAGCTGACGTTTCTAACATGTTGGCTTGGAAACACAGCTGCGCCGCGTGCAATTTTTGATTTCTCATTCCACCAGATAGCTCCACACCCGCCGCTTTAGCAAGCCTACCTTTCGACCCTCCGGCACCGGATTGGGAAAAACACAGTGCTTCGCATCTTTTCTACCCTTTCGCACGGGTTGATCTTCTTTGTCCTTGCTTTTCTCTGACTCTTGCCACGTTGTTTTTTTAAAGCCACATATGCCATGTTTGTTTTGATAGATTGAACATGATTGAACGATGTCTGTCTCCAAGTCATTCTTAAACCCTATGCACGACACCCCCAAGGCCTTCGCTTCAGCAGTGGACGCTTCAGAGCTAAAAAGGCTTTCCAACTCCTAGCAGATGCAGAATGGTCATTGATTGGTACCAGTTGCCAGTGACAAATCATATCCCGATTGCTGACTTTTTATGCTCTTACTTGCCTCAAGTCTCAAATCTCAACTGCTCATCAAGCTCTTCCCACCTTTTCCGCTTCCATGGCTATGGCGAAGCAACTTATCGAAGGTGGGCAAATCAGAAGGAAACAAAGATGCGACATGAAAAATCATTGCATCATGCCTAGTGCACATCGTCTGATTTTTGATGCCAATGATGCAAGGATGCCGCCTCTGAGCCAGTGGATACCGCGGGTCAGGCTGGACAAAACACATAGCTGACATAGCCGCTAAGCCAAAGAAGAGCTATGTCATCCGTTTAGCCTTGCAGCCGATGATTTTGGGCTCTTAATCGTCCATGACTACCCCAACCAGTCCAGTCACTGATGGTACCTGTGCTCGGCCTTTTCTGGGATGGGACCAGGTCATGTTAAACCACCACCATCCATCACCAAGAAAACTTCACATACGGACGCACAATGTTAAACCACCATCCACCGCGGCTACAACAGAGCATGGCACATATGGACTCACAGGCAGTCACAATCCCAAATCCATTCAAATCCTAACTTCTACTGGTCAATATCCCACCGCATCCCACCTGCCAACCTGCTTGGCTCAATTTCCCACATCGCCCCGCCTTGCCGTCCCTGGAGACGTCCATCTTGGAGTGTCCCACCTTCGGCTCATTCCTACTAGGACTACTATGACTGTTATTGTCATAGTTGGTTACTGTCATTGTCACAGTTGTAGTTATTGCTACTGTAATGGGCATTGTTTTCGATGATTATTGTTAATCGCTACATTGGTGTTGCTGATATTGCTACTATTGTCATTGTATTTTACCAGGTCAGCCAAGAATGGGGTAAATACAACAACTAACCGTTAAGCTGCTAGTCCTTTTGAACCAACGCTTCAAGGTAGTCACATGATGTACATGGAACATGGGTTATACTGCAGGAGTTTTTACACCACCCTCAGGCGAGCAGAGACTGCAGCGAGGCTGTTGAATCAATGAGCGAGCTAACCCGGTAGCGGGTTTGTTTTTAGCTTTTGGTTTTGAAGCCATCAACTGCATACAAAAGTCTCTATAAGAAGCTCAAGCCTGCAAACCCAGCAGCAGCGCAAGGGAAGGCAACTTACCATGCCATGTCTTGCAAAAGGCTACTCATCATGTCTACCTATCGGTTCCAAAGAATCCAACGGCTGCCAGCCTCATCTCGATAGTACCATTTACCTCGCCACCAGCTCCATTCACGGCGAGCGCCATAGTGGTCCTTGTTGTAGCTCCACGAAGCATCAGGGCGACCTGAGCTGGATGCCTTTGCAGTCGGTGGACTCTCTGGCTCCAGAAATGGTCTTGCGGCTTTCTTGCTCTTCGGCAGGAATGCCGTTGCGGCACTCCAAGATGAGGCTTCCGCTTGCGCGGAGCTGGATGCGGCTCCACGGATGGCGGCTTCTTCGTTGGCCTTTCTCTTTTTGGCGGCAATTTCTTGTGGGCCATTTGCTTTGGCATGTGCGGATTGTTTTTCCTTTCGTTGGATATTCTCTTTTGCCAACGGCTTGGAAACCTTCGAAAAGGAGAGGTTTTGCAGCTTCCCCCATAGACACGGAGTTAACGACACGACGACGACGCGACGCCGACCCGACGACGACGCGCCGACCCGACGACGACGCGACGAGCCACTCGAGGCGAACAAGGGTCCAGCCCCCAGACCCCCAGACTACAAACGGGAACCCTTCGCTGCGCATTCGGGAAAAAAAGGATTATCTGGGATGAACATCCAAAATCATCAAATCACCAGCTCAACGCCATCAACATACCCACAACCTGGAATTCTGCATGCTAATAGTGATAAGCTACGTGATCTCATAAGAAAATGGGTTACATATCCAAACTCCAGAGTTCCTATGCGTTCTTGCTAGAGGCACGACTTTTGCGAAACACACTTCCCCAAGGCACAACGATTTTTTCCTAAAACAGGTACGACTTTGTCAGATGCCTGTAGCGGTCTTCAACATCTTCATAGCCCAAAGCTTTCGCTCTCCTGTGATGGTCCTTGGCATCTTTGAGCACTGACGCTTCAAGGCTTGCAATGCCCCTGGCTCCAATTTGCTGTCGCAACATGTCGGCCTGCTCACCTGTGAGGGCGGCTAATAGCGATGTTGATTTTGCCAAACATTCCGTTCTTGGCTAATTCGCTTTTCCAAGACCTTTGTTCTTCTGTTGGCTTGGTGTTTGACTTGGCCACTTTCATCCACTGACAATGGCTCGTAACCGCATGTGGCGCAGGTGATTTGGCCGCTGACGTTCCACCATGCGCAAAGGGCAGTCGCCCGTGAATGTGGCTCGGCATTTTTCGGAGTGGTGTAGACACGGCGCACCCTCGTGGGTGGCTGGTCTGCACGCTCCGGTTTGTCACCAGCTGCATTGTCATCATCCACCTGCATAGCGCCACGAGCATCGGGTTGCCCCGTGCCGGCATCATCTGGACCATCGTCGAACCCCAAATCCCTGTCATCTCTTGGGATCCGTCGCACATCAGCTGTCGGGGTGCTTGGCTTCGCCTGCTTCTCCCAAGTGCTGGGCTCGAGATTGCTCCCGGCGCGGTTCCAAAGCATTTTGTCCCCCTGGGTGATGCTGATGATATACTGGGATGGTATCCTTTCAGACGTAGTGATACCATCATATACCATCCATGGCGGTCCGGCTGAAGATGATGCCCCCTTCCACCGCTTGCCCCAGTGCACTTTTGATCTCAACTGGACATTTTCCCCGCAAGCCACTTCTGTACCCATCCGCGCCGTAGCGTTTGTCGCTCAGGTAGATGTGGGCGCGCCCGGAGTTGACAGTATCTCCTCCCCCGGCAGCAACCCACTCTTCGCGATGCTCTTCCAGTGACTCCTCATCGTTCGATGGTATAAGCCACTGCTGGAACCTCGCTCATGGCACAGATGGGCACGCCTGCGAAGGCGGCTTTTCTCTCCAGGCTGATGTTGGATGCACAGCAGATTTGTACAGCGTTGGCATAGAGCCCCCCAACTTTTTCGAGTGCCTCTTTTGAGTGTCCTTGAATCGCTCGGATTTTGACTGGGACATACTCGCACTGAAGGTGATTCTCGCAGCCTGGATCGGGGATCTTGGCGCAGAGAAACTCAAATCTGCTCTTGCCGTACTTGTCCAGCTTCATGGCCGTCCCAAATAGATTGCTCACGGTGCAGAACACATCAGGGGGCACTTCCTTACGGAAGGCTTTTGCAAATCTTCCAAGTCAGAACAGCTGTTTGTCCATCTTCACCTTGGAGCAATTCGCGATCCCCCTGCAAACCTTGTTCACGCGCGTCGCGAAATCTTGGAACTTGCGATCGACGCGGAGTGTGCGAACCAAGGTCTCTACATCCGTGGCTGTCATCAATTCTAGCTCATAGCCCACTCCGTTGACTTCATTTCCCTCGGACTCGGAGTTGGTCACCATCGTATATTCATACTCAGGCAAGTGCTCCTCCATGAAGTATGCACGGACAAAGTTGCGTTCATGTTCCTGGGCTGGGCGCGCAGTTGCCTGCGGCCAATCTGAGCCGGAGCTTCTGAGAAGGGATCATCGTTGGGTCCAAGTTCTTCACATCCTGGAGATCCTCCGTATCTGGCTGCCTGAGTGCAACTTCCTCTGCGGACGATGTGCTTTCTGCTTCTGCCGAATTCTGAAAGAGAAACCCTGGGTTCCAGCGCAGGTCATCATGCGGCTGCTGTGCCAGCTGTCCCAGTTCCAAGCCGACCCCCCATGCATTGGCAGCGCAATCGATCAGGAACAAAGTTGCTGTCCAGAACGAAGCCAGGCGGACTCGATTTTCATCCGAATTGGCGAAGTGCCAGTGACCTTTGACTTCGAATTCGTCCGCGTATCCGGCTGCTATACAACCCATGGGAAATCCGAGTCGGCTCGCTCGCGAGAGCGGCTTGTGAGTTCATACCAGATCGGCTCAACATGTTGGAAAAATTCGTCGAAGATGGGCTGAATTCCATAATCAGCAGCAAGGGGCGCGGTTGTGAGACCGGCCGATTGCAATCCCAGGGCATCCGGAAACCTGGACAAAGCCTCCTCAGCTATCTGCACACCGCGCTTGACCAGGTTCCTGAACGTTTTTCCCCACATCATCTCATGGATAAATTTCTGCACATAAGGCGGCTTCCTCTCCTTAAAGTGCTCTGACACGTCATACTTGCGCAGCGAATGCCGGCGACCTGCAATGAAAATCCAGATGGTGGGGCGCGGTGTCAATACGCTCAAAATCTTGCTTATGAGGCAGGACACAGAACTCCAGAGCCTTCATGATCGGTTCGTCTCGGCCACAGAATCGGAGTGCAGAAATTGCAGACCACTCATTCATTAAGCCCTGGACAAGATCCGATGCAAGAATTCCTTCTCCCTGGTTGCGAATGACCATTGCGCACAAGAGCTTTCCATGGAAATCATTCCACCATTATTCCTGATTCCTCTTACGTCGCGCAGTGAGCTCAGCCTCACGGCTGGCCGGGTTGGTTGCGGGTCGCGAGTCGGCCATTTTGACAGCTGCGATTTTGGCGTTACAGGCTTTCCTTTTGGAGGCTTGGCCCACCGCAGCTACCCGAAAGCACTCATGAAGCATGTCAGTCAACTTGAAGGTATAATTTTCAGCAAATTTTACTGCCTTACCTCGACTTTCATCATGTTCATGTTTTCCACTGCAACGACAGGAATCTAATCTTTCAAGTTCTTTGAAGTTTCCGGCAATTGTCCAACTTTTCTTCATTGGATGACCATCATTCCCAAGAACTCCCAACATACATCCATCAAAATGGTGCATCGACATGAAACGTTCAATGAGAAACTTTCTAACCATTGGCCATCTCCAATATTTGCAATTCTTCGAAAGTTCGAGAGCTATCAAGGTTCGTTCATCATAAACTTCATCCACAAGTTCGACAAAGGATTTGAAAAGTTTGGTAAACTGTTTTTCTTGATCCTTTATTCTTTCATGACCCTTGACCGTAAGGCCGCTCACATTTCCCCAAGGACTTCCTCCCACACATGGCAATGATGCATACAAGATCAAAGTGCCATTA